CGCGCGAGGTGGCCCGCCGCGGGCGCGGCGCCTGCTCCCGCGCGGGGCGTCCCCGTACCGCGCGAGGGCGCGGCGCGGGCCCTCGGCCGCAGATGGCTGGAGCGGGGGCGCCGTGCCGCCCGCTGCTGCGGGGGGGGGGCGGGGGGAGGCCCGGGGGCGCGCAGAGAGAGAGAGAGAGAGAGAGAGAGAGAGAGAGACATATATATATATATATATATATATATATCTATCTATACGCAGACAGCAGGAGATGCGCCCTGTTGTCCCATGCTCTGTGGCTCTCTGTCTTCCCCCCACACTTCCCACATTTGTCCCATGTCTTCCTGCGGAGTCGACGACTACTCGTCGGTCGGAAGAAGCAGGTAAACACATGAAGTAGGAAGGCGGACGAAGTGGGTTCGGTCCAGGCCCTCCCAGAGAACAACAAAACACAGCAAAATCATGTCGATTATTTATAGGAAGGCCCTTGAAGTAGATTGGGGTCTGGGAATCCAGAAATACCTACTTTCAACGACCGGCGTGTAATTGTGTCTGTCTGTTTTTGTCCCCGCCTGAGTAGGGGGGATGCAGGTGGAGGCCAACCCAGACGGGCTCTCGTCGTTGAGAAAACATCTGGGCGGCAAGGTCTTCACCATGCTCAGCCCAATTAGGGGCCCGATCGCTGGGCCCCGGGACCGCCAAACATCGATTCAGGATGAAGAGCTGGCCCTGGGGAACGGGTCTGGACTTCCGGGGACGCCGCACTGAAAAAATCAAAAATCAGGACGTCGCATGTCTGGGAAGGTATTCTCTACCCCGCCAGACCTGGCTCAGAAGTGGGTCAGGGGCCTGAGGGCGTAGAGAGCGAGGACGCCGTCCTAGGACGAAGCCAGGACAGGGAGAGGGCTCAGAGCCCAGACCCCCTCGCGTTGTAACGAAAAACACGTCGGGAAGTGTTCGCTGCTTTCGGCCTCGGACGGCCTTTCCGGGCCCTGGAACCGTCAACCAAACGACTCAGGATGAAAAAATCCGGTCCCAGGGCCGGGGTCCAAACCTCTGGGGGTCGGCGTTGATGAAAAATGACCACGTCGGGGGTCTGGGCATACCGCTACCTATCCCTCGTTCTCCCTTTTTGGAGCCTCCTGGGTGGCCCTCGTCGCCACCGCTGGATTCGCCTCGCAATTCTCGTCAGAACGTACCCCGGGATGGTTCCGGGGAGTAGCGGTATCGGTACTGCCCAAGGACGGCGTTCTTACCTTTCGGCGATCACCCGGGTTCTCCGGTGGTTTGGGCGCACCAGTAATTACTGCGCACCCCCTTCGGACCTTCGCCACTGACAAGGTCAGGATTATCCTGAGGGAGGGGGGGCGGTCGGGCGGGCCCCGATAACACTGCCGATCGCCAAACTCCAAAAAAACTCCTGCCGGGGGCGCCGTGTCCGTCTCCAGGCGAAGCCAGGGCAGGGATAGCATCGGAGAAGAATGTGCATGCGATATCTCCGAGATCCGACGGCTCTGATGATGTATCGGGCGCCGCGGCCTTCTTGGAGCACTTGAGGGCGTTGTGAAACGACCTGGAACGACGCATCCATGTGCTAGCCCCGTCCGCCTTTTCCTGGAGCGGTCTCTTGGAGGCCTCTTGGGACCTCTTGGGGCCTCCAGGGAGTCCCTCGAGGCCAAAACGTCCGCTCGCCCCCGCCCCCCCCCCCCCCCCCCCATCTTGGCCCCTTCTTGGAATCATCTTCTGGGCCTCTTAGACAGAGTTGGGCGCCTATTGGGCCGAGTTGGGGCCCTCTTGGGACGTTTGGGGGCCCTCCTCGCAGCCACGGCCAGATCCGCCTCGAGATCCTGGACAGTATGCGCCCGAGGAGAGGCTCCCTCCTCCTCCTCCTCCTCCTCCTCCTCCTCCTCCTCCTCCTCTTCCTCCTCATCCTCCCCCTTCTCCTCCTCCTCCTCCTCTTCTTCCTCCGTCTCCTCCTCCTCCTCCTCCTCCCGCTTCCTCCCGCCTCCAGCCTTCCCCCCGGCCCAGAGCGTGGCCGAGACGCCGTGCTGGCCGCCTCTTGCCACCTCTGGGCCCTCAAGGGGGCACTTCCCGAGATCCGACGTGGGAGGGAATATACAGAACCGAGAATCACCAGAGAAGGAAGAACCACCACCACCAGCTCGGGTGTGTGGCCTTTGGGAACCGAGATCTGTGGAGTTCTGGTGGTGGTGGCTCCTTTTGCTCTCATGAGCAAGCCCTCACGACTGGAGCCCTGTTGAAAAATATACAAAATCGTGAACCACCAGAGAAGAGAGAACCACCACCACCAGCTCGGGTGCGTGTGTGTGTGTGGACTTTGGGAACCGGGTTCTGTGGAGTTCTGGTGGTGGTGGCTCACTCTTTGCCCCCATAAGCAAACACTCAGGACCGGAGCCCTGGCCCCCCCATGATGCTGCTGCAACTTTCGAGCCGCTTCGATTCGCGATGGTCACGGAGCCGGCATCAAGGCAGCAGCGCCTGTTTTGAGAAAACATTAGGCGCCAGGACCTCAAGGCTTCCCGCCCTTGGGGCCGCCAAGACAAGCACGGACAAGGATGGAAAAAGCTGGCCCGGGGGGGGCGGGGCCGACGGCTCCGTGGGCCCACGTGACACTGATCCAAGCGCCGGGGGAGGGGAGACCTGCATCCCGACTCCACCCGCTCTCTCCATGTCTTCGAACGCCCGACATGGGTACGGACAAGCATGGGTACGAGACGAGGCCCAACAGCAAAATGTTGTCCCAAAGCGACAGCGGCCGCTCTGGCAGGTGGCCTTCTGTTTCAAATGTGCAATCGCCCGCGGCGGCGAGGGCAGCGAGACCTGTTCAGAATGAACAGGAACTGCTGTGGGCCTTCTCCCTCGGGCCACCATCATCTCAGGCGGGGCTGCAGCGACTGGGGCACGTGCGCACAGAAGTTTCGCGCCCAGTGCTGTGCGCAGGGGGTGGAAGCTAAGAGAAGATTCTGCTCCAGCATACTTTAGAATTGATCACCAGGAAGAACTTCGAGCACCAAGAAAGTAGCGAAGCTTAGGGTTTTCAAGTGCAGGTCCCTGGGGGGCGATACTCGTTCGACACGGTGTCGATACTTTCAAAGGGGCTCGAATTTATTTCTGGGATTTGGTCCTTCAATATGATGGGAGCAACATGGAGAGAACTTGGATCGCCGCGGTGGTTGCTAAGGGGATGGGCGGGTTAGAAGTGGATGCTAAATTGGGTTTTCTCCGACCTAATCCAGCTTAGAAGTGGGTTGCACGTGCCCTAAGTGGCGTAAGGGCGCACATATCAGGGCTACGTGGGCGGAGCCCACTTAGCGGAGCTACCTCAGCATCCTAAGCCACATAGGGCACTTGTAATCACTTATAAGGTGGGTTAGGCCAGATCAAACCCACTTGAACGTCCACTTCTACCCCCCCATCCCCTTGGCAACTTCCGCGGTGATCCAAGAAGCGCCACGCGGCTTCCCTGCCGCGCAGATGCAGCAGAGGAGTCCAGGCAGGGTCCTTTTCCACAGCTCGCTTCGCCCCCCCTTTCGCTGTTCCTCTACTGGAGAGATGTGCTCCTCTCGAGGCGCGGAGGAAGGGGGAGGGGAGAAGGAGGAGGAGGAGGAGGAAGAGGAGGAGGAGGGGGAGGAGGAGGAGGAGGAGAGAAGGAGAGGAGGAGGAGGAGGGGGAGGATGAGGAGGAGGAAGAGGAGGAGGAGGAGGAGGAGGAGGAGGGGGAGGAGGAGGAGGCGGAGGAGGAGGAGGAAGAGGAGGAGGAGGCAGAGGTGGAGGAAGAGGGGAAGAGGGTCGATGACCTGGAGGGCGTGTGTCAACGCGGACGCGTGCCCGACTGCGGAAGCCCTCGCTGAGGCCGCAAAGGGCTACCACGATATCGGCCGAGGTTAGCAAGGTGCACCTGCATCTGACTATCCGACGTTGCATCGGGCTCTTTCCCGAGGTCTCGACATTAGGTCTCTGGAGCTCTGCGGTGGTTGGTCTCAACCAGTCGGAGATCCCCGAAGTCGTCTAGAGGCCTCCAGGGGCTCAAAGAAGCAAACGACAGCGAACAACTCGATCTTATTCCTCCTCCCCCCCCCTCCTCGAGAAGGGGGTCCTGGAGACAGGTCCTGGGGCCCAGGGCGCCTCCGAGACCAATTCGTCAGCCGAGTCGCTCGATCACGGCCCCGTCCCAAGGAAGGATCCAGGGAGCCCGAACACTGTGAGAGAAGCCCCCGTGCACCGTTTCCTCCAGAAACTTTGCCTTCATGGCTGTGAAAAGAATTGTCGTGCTGGGATGAAGGGTTTGGGCCCGTTCAGGGGTACGACTGCTGAATAAACACCTTCCACAGACACGATAGTACGGATGATCTGGTCATTTCTCCCAACCCCATCCTCCCAACCCGATAGTTGTCTTTCTGAATGTGATTATGCCCTTGCTTCACCGAGATTCCAGTGTGCTGACCAATAGCCCCCCGTGCATGTAGACCTGTCAGGCCAACCACAAATCCGAAGTCAAGAACAGAGTTCAAGACCTCGACGGTCTTGAGGCTACGTTGGAGCCTTTCCTCGAAGGTCAGGCTTCTCCTCCCCCCAGCTTTCAAAACAAAAGCTGCTGGTTGTCCCAATGGGACCCGATGTCGCGCCCAATGCATCGCCCTCGTATGGCGCCATCGGGCGCTCTTGGGCGCCCTTCGGCGCTGCTCGAACACTGTTCGGCGCCACGGGGCGCTCTCGGGGCGCCATTTGGTGCTGTTCGCCGGTCGCATTCAGCGCAAGACGAGCGGAAGCGTCCGTTACTTACTGTAAAACAGGGCTGGGATCGGGATGAATCGCTCCAGAGCGATCCGGAGCGCTCTCAGAGCGTTCCGGAACGCTCTGGGGCGGCCGCGGCGCCCAATACATCCTCCAAACCCGCCGATTCTCAGAGATTTCGAGCTATCCCGATCCGATTTTGTCCCGATCTTCGCGTCGTTTTGTACTGACCAGCTGGCCAGCGCGGGGGGGGGGGCCGGGCCCGGCCTCCTGGGTGCCGCTGGCGCCCATGCCCACGGACGCCTGGCTGCGCTCCAGGGTCGACGCCGAGGCCTTCTGCGCGCTCGTCCTCCGGGGGGGCGCCCGGGGGGCCGAGGACGAGGAGCGGCAGCGGGATGTTGTCTGGGCAGGACGAAGATCGAAGACGACGGACCTGGGACGAGGCTCCTCGTCCGGAGCCGAGGACGAGGGTTCTGGTCCTCGCCCTCGGCACGGGAGGATCACGAGCAGTCGACTGCACAGGCAGGACCTCACCTGTCAGGAGGAAAAAAAAAACACACAGACACAATTAATCGTCGATCCCCAAGAAAATATGCGAAAATATGGGAAGTGGGGGGGAAGACGAAAGTCCAAAAGATATGGGAAAATGTGGGGAATCCTTTTATTTGTGTGTATTTATTTGTGTATCCCAGGGCCCCTTCAACCTGTAGCCCCCTCCTGCCCTGCTGCTGCTCCTGCCCCTGCCCCGCGTTTTGTTGTTGCTGCCGGCCTCTCGCCGGCCCGCCACGGCGCAGGGCGCGCACGTCTTGCCAGCGCGGGGGCGCGTCAATTCCACGGGCACGCCTCGACTCCGTGCGTGCTGTTTTTGTGCTTTCCTCGCAGGATGGCCCAGGAGGCCGCTCGATGGTCCCCCGCCGACAAGAAGTGCACACGCCCGAGCGATGCCAAGCCAGCATCTTTAGAAAAGTGTGTAAGTGCGTGCTGTGCCCAAGCCACGTGCCAAGGGCAGGAGAGCCCAGAATCGAATCGGCAAGTCGAATCGGCGATCGACACCCATCGGATCGACGGACATCGGCAGCCGAGTCGGGGGACGTCGAATCGGCAGAGGTCGGCAGGCCAGTAGGCCTCCCTTGAGAAGTCGGATCCCAGATCGGATTCCGATGCCGAATCGAATCGGAATCGGCATCGATCGGAATCGAAACCTTTCACCATCGAGCCGAATCGAATCGAATCGGCATCCGAACCCATCGAAGTCGGGATCCGAAGCGAACCATAGGAATCGACACGAGCCCTGCGGCTGGCGCGGCGCTTCCGAGACGGCCTCGGGCGGACGGGGAGCGGAAAGGGCGCCCCCCCACCAGCTGCTCGTTGCCGGCGAGATGCGACGGCTTCGGTGGACTGCCTGCCAGGCCACCCCCAGCCAGCCCGAGGACCCGAATTTGGGGTTGGGGTTCTGTGGTTCCCATCGTACTGAAAGACCACATCCCAGGAACAATTTCGAGCACCTGGAGAAGTGCCGAAAGAGTGCCGAAAGATTGTCGAAACAGTGTCGGACGAGTGTCTCCCAGGGCCCGACACGTGAAAGCCCTAGAGTTTCGGTACTTTTTTGGGTGCTCGACAATTTTCTTTTGATCAAGGCCAAAGTAGGGTGGAACATCATAACCGAAGACCCGAATTTCGGGTTGGGTGGGCACGGGCTCCCTATGTTTTGATGTCCCCTGCTCACCGACCCCCCCCCCTCCCCTGTGGGGCGAATCGAGGCCTTCGGATTGGGTCGGGGTGGTCTGGTGGGCGGTGACTCGGGGCGGCTTGGAAGGGGAGCTGGCGGTCGAAGGTGCTGTGGCACGTGCTGCAGAGGGCGGGAACGCGAATCTATAACGATCAGGGCTCGACCCAAAGCGTGCTGTTCGTACTCGCTGTGTGTTCGTCTTCCCCCGTGCTGTCTGAAGTTCGCCTCTGCTGCTCAACGACATCGAACCGAAAACGGCCCACGAAATCGCGCAAACAACGTTCGAGTCCTCCCCTGATGACGATCACCCCCTACAGCCGAGGCCCATGGAGCAGGCGCGCCGGGAAGGAACCGATCTGCGCAGGGCTGACGCGTTTGAGGCGCAGGGACAGCAAAGCCATCGTCAACTGGGGGGGGGGGGTCGGGGAAGGTGTTTCCTGCCTACCCGGACGCTGGAAGCATAGGCGGCTGTTTTCGCATGTGGAATTCGGAGGCCAAGCGCTGGGTGCACATGGGGAGGGCGCAGGGACCGACCGTCCTGGCATTCCTAGGGGCCTACCACGAAATAGTCCCAGAACCCAGAAAAAGGGTCTAAGAACAAATGTTCTCAGAGCGTAAACCTGGTGTGTAGAAACAATGCAGTCTCAGCCAGAAATGGTCTAACACCACTTCGTGCAAGCCACACAGGGTTAGTAGAACATCCTGTGGTGGGCCTACAGGCAAGCCAGGACGCTTCGCCACTGCTGGAATCGAGCTCTCGACCAGCGGGCCGCGTCATGTGTATTCGCCTTCCTGGTAGATTTGGGGCCTGAAGGGGTCTCGAAAGGGATCCAGACCCCCAGAGGTCCCGACCCCTTCCCTCGGGGGCGGCCAAGAGGGGGGCGTCCGAGAGGGGGGGGCACAAATCATGGCCCGCGGCATGTGCGCGGCCCACGGGGGCGGGGGGGGGGCAGAAACGTAATGAAATAAAGATGGGCGCCATGAAACCTGGGGAAATCTCATGGCCCACGCCATGTCATCCATCCCCCCCTGGTCGTCGCACCCCTCTTTGCCGCCCCCCGATTCCCCAGGACAAGTTGTTGATCTCGAGCCGTTTCTTGGCGGCCCCGGAACTCGACGAGGGCCACCGGAGGCCGAACGTAGCGAGCAGACTCCCACCGCGACTTCTTCGCAACGCGAGGGGGCCTGGCGAGGGGACCCGACTTCGAACGTCCTGGAAGCACAATGGCATGACCGGCGCTTCCTCCGAACATTGTCTGCCTCTGTCATGGGGGCGTCTCTTCGGACGCCCGACATGGGTACGGAAAGAAGGGGCACGATGCCCAACGACAGATGCTGTCGCAAACCAACAGCGTGGCCGCTGTTGGGCAGGCGGCCTGACGTCTCAAATGGACACAGTGCGCGGCGACGCCGACAGCGAATCGAGCTCCAAATGAAGAGGAACTGATGTTGGGCACTGTACCCACTCTTTCCGCACCCATTTCCCCAGACCCCCGACGTCGCGATTTTTTCACAACGTCGACCCACAAAGGGCTGGACCCATTCCCTGGGACCTGTTTTTTATCCTGAGCCGTTGTTTGACGGTCCCGGGGCCCGGTGAGGGCCCCGGGAGGCCGAAAATACCGGAAAACCTCCCGACAGCGAACCCTGTTCACAATGAAAAGGGACTGCTGTCGGTCTTTGTGCCCATTCTTCCCGTACCCGTTCCGATCGTCCCGAGCCTCGGCCTGGCCCGGGGCCTTCGGAGACCGACTCGCGACGAGGAGCGCGGGCCCCCCGGGGACGTCGCTTTGAGGGCTCGCGGGGGCCGGTGCGCCCGGCATCGGAGCCGGAAGGAGGGTCGAACACCCGCCTTCGAGTCCTTCGAGTGCTCGAAGCACTCCAAAACGTAGAGCGGAGGACGGTCCACAAGAGACCTTCCACAAGAGCCGGTCTTTCGGGCCACGGCGTGCCTTCGCCACGACCGCGCCCCCTCTCGCGCACCGACTCCTCTCAGGAGGGACAGGAGTACCACTACCACGAGCTAGGGGGGCGGCCGCTCCCTCCCCTCGAGCTGGCGGCACCTCCTCCCCGGAACTCTCTGGAGGCATGCCTGGAACGAGGTGCCACCAGCTCGAGAGGGTGGGACAGCCACTAGCTGGTGGTAGTGGTGCAATGGAGGCCAGTCCACAAGAAACCTTCCACAAGAAAGCCAACCCTGAGACCCCAGGACGTGCATCGATTTCTGGTGTGGGAGCGTCGCGCTGTCCACAGCAAAACCATCGAAACCCAACAAACCCAGGGCACCCTGGAGGCAGGCAGGGTGTTTCTTGGCATGGGTCTCCACTGTAGATTGAGGACGGGTGATTTGGGCGCAGGACCCTGGGCGGTCGAAGTTGGGATTTTGTGGGGCGGCGGGCGACTAGTGGAAACGGTAGAGAGAGGATGGGACGCAGAGGCGTGGCCACTCGGGGTAAGACCCGAGCCAGGGGGGGGGCCCGGTCTCCAGCGGGCATTGGCCCAGGCATCTGGTGGGGGGCCTGTTTCGCCGCGAGGGTCTGGACCCCTTCCCGGGGACCAGCCTGTGGGCAGGCCCCGGGCACTGTGACGGCCGCCGGAAGTCGAAAAGTGATGGAAAACGTAGTGCTTGCTCTTTGTCTCGCGACGCGAGGAGGTCAGGGGATGTCCAGGAGCAGGAGGCCCCAGTGAGCTGCGACCTGCTCTGGGCCCTGAGCATCTGGGGTCCTGCGCGCGGCCAGCGCCGAGATGTCGGACGACAGCACGGCCGTGCGGTGCAGGTTCTCGTTCAAGAACTTCTGGCCCGCCGCGGAGGACATGAGGTTCCGGAACCGTGACACGGTGAGCCTCCCGGTCGCCAGCTCGGCGGGGCGCCGTGGCTAAGCAGCGCAGGCGCTGATCTGGCCAACGCAAGGCACTCTCTCGCTCGGTGCTCTCAAGGAAATGCCACACGCAAGATCAGAGGCCCTGCAAGCAGATGCGAGAGCCGGACTCTGCCGATGTGCCCATACTGGCGCACATGCGCGCACGCATGAGCACTTCCGCGACCACGAGCATATAAATTCACGAGCACGCCACGTAGCCACACGCAGACGCGTGCGGTGCGCGCGGATGAGCATCCGCGTGCGCAGAAACCGAGTTATGGCACGCACGTGAACGTGCGCTGGAAGCCATACTTTTGCACAGGCTCGCACGTGCATGGGCTCGCGCAACCATATTCATCGGTGCACATACGCGCGCAGGCACAAACACGGTCATGGGTTCGAGGTCGGTTGTGGCCAACAGCGACGGGAGCCTGTTTCCTATGTTTCGCGTCGCGATGGCCGCCGTCACCGGCTCCGCCCCCCCCCCACCCGCGCCAGCGGCGTCCGGGAATTTCTAGGGATGCCCGAAGACGGGTAGGAGCAGCATGTCGGTGGCGATCTGTGCCACAGCGCTTGTGTGCACCACCTTGCTCGCGTGCACCACGGAGCGCGTGCACACCACAGCGACTGTGTATACACATCAGCAGCCGTATGCAACGCAGCGCCTGTGTACACAACAGTGTTTGCTTGCACCACACCGCCTGTGCACGCCACTGTGAATGTGTACACCGCAGCAGACGTCTGCAACACAACGCCAATGTACGCCGCAGCGCCTGTGCACACCAAAACGCCTGTGTACACCAAAGAATTCTCGTGCAACAGATGGCTGGTGCACACCACGACGCCTGCGTGCACAGCACAGGGAGCATTTAGGTGAGGATTTGCTGCGGACAGCTGAACAGGTACGCAAGGACAGCGTTGATAATACAATGCGATGATCGTATCTCCTCTCTCCCTCTCCTTTTCCTCATCCTCCTCCTCCCTCACCCTATTCCCCGCCGTGTGGGTCGGCGCCACAGCGCACGTGCGCATCTCAGCGTGCACCGCAGAATGGGAATGGGCAAACAAAAGAGAAACGCTCGTGCCGTGAAGCGCCCCGGTGCCATGCCACAGTGCCCCACGCCTCAAGCGAACTCCTTCAGGAGGACGCCGCCCCTGTCTATATGCGCGTCCCGATCCCCACGGCATCGCACGGCACCTCCTCATCCTCTTGCTGCTCCTCCTCCTCGGAGGACTCGTAGATTCATGAGGCGTTCCTGTTTCCGTAAAAGGTTTCTTTACAAATCCTGAATACGTATCACCCCGCAGATGCGGATAAGAGTGAAGGGGCGGCGGGGACGTGGGCAGATTGCGAGTCTCTGGAGAAGCCCGCCGCAGGCGCCAAAGTTTCGCACACTGTACAACGACCCCGCCGCAGGCGCCCATTTTGTCGTTAAACCAATGTGGGTGGGCGGGTCGCGGGTGGGCCGCTAGTGGGTCGAAAATATGTCGCGGGTGGGTCGCGTGTGCGTCGCGGGTGGGTCGCGGGTGGGTCGTAGACAGGTCGCGGGTGGGTCGAGGGTGGGTCGCGGGTGGGTCGCGGGGTGGGTCGTGGGTGAGTCGCGGGGTGGGTAGCGGGTGGGTCGCGGGGTGCGTCGCGGGTGGGTCGCGGGTTGGGTCGCAGGTGGGTCGCGGGAAGGGTCGCGGGGTGGGTCGCGGGGTGCGTCGCGGGGTGGGTCGCGGGTGGGTCGGGGGTGGGACGACGACAACAAACAACAACAACAAAAACAATAACAACAACAATAACAAATAACAGCATCAACAACAGCAACAATAACAACAACGATAAGCATTATCCTCACCACGGATCCCCACTTCAGCCACTCACCCAGGGGCAATGAATGACCGTTCGGCCCCCTCACTCTGATAAAAAACTACTTCCTGTTGACTCGTCAGGCGCTCCATTATATCACAACGATTACTTCTAACAATCTATGTGCAACAATAGTATTATGTTGAACACGACTGCTGTGGTTCATCCGGGCGTCGTGGTGTACACAGGCGATGTGGTGCACGCAAGCACTGTGGTGTACACTGGTGATGTGCTGTACACGGCTGTATACGCAGGCGCTGTGGTGTACACAAGCACTGTGCTGCACGCAGGCGCTGTGGTGCACACTGGCGCTGTGTCGCACGCGGCTGCTGTGGTGTACATAGGCGCTGTGGTGTACACAGGTGCAGCAGGCACTGTGGTTCACACAGGCGCTGTGGTGCAGATCGCCACCTACATGCTGCTCCTACCCGTCCTCGGTCATTCGTAAGCATTCCCAGACGCCGCCAACGCGAAACGTGAAGTCACCAGGTCCTCTCTCCCCCCAACCAGTGGCGGCTGTCATCGCCACGAAATACAAAAACAGGCTACGGATACTCACATGCCCACTCCTGCTCGCACATACTGAAAGTCCGAGAGTGGGACCTCCGATCACGCGAACAGCTTCCATGCCAGATCAGATGGGACGTCGTCCTGCTGGCCCGTCCTATTCGAAATGGAAGCTCAAGTGAGAACTACAACTTGCGCCATGGACGGCGCGAATCATCCCACGCCTTTCTTCGACTGTGGACACCCCTACCTCTGAGCATTCTCTTAGGGTGGAGGGCTCAGGGTGAAATCCATAGTATGGGCTTCTGTAGCGCGAAAACCAATCCGTCTTGTGATTCATCTTTTGCAGATTCCAAACCTGGAAAGTCAATCGAAACGGCATTTCATATGTCACCCTTCGCCCTCCACCCGAAGAAAATGCTCGGTACCTGTACTTGCCGACCCTTCCCATTCACATGCATGCGCACAGCGGCCACGCGCGTGCCTGCCCGCACCCGGCCACACCGAAGTGCGACACATCAGTTTTCATTTGACCGAGTGTCCTTCCAGTGGTGATCCCCCCCCCTCCGAGATGGACCCCCAGACCTGTCCTGAGGCACGCTCTGGCCAGAGCTTCGGCGGGGCATCCAGCTGTGGCGATGAGAAGCGTCCTGGAGGTCCGAGAGGAGGAGGAGGAGGAGGAGGAGGAGGAGGTCCGAGAAGGGCTCGGCACCGCAGCAACAACAGTAACAAAAACACTTTACGGCCGTTCGCACTTCGTTGCCCGAGTGCCGCTCAACATGTATCCCCCCACCATCGATGCCGACCGTCTTCGTCTTCAATCGGACCCCCCTTGGGGGGTATACCTTCCTTGCCTGCTACGTGTAGATGGGCAAGGCCCTAAATAGGAAGGAGGGGAAAAAAGGAACAAGGGTGAGAGCGAGGCAGAAAGGGGACAAGAGGAAGATAGGACAATCAAGGACGAACATGATATAGCATGAGGGGTAGGACAGGGAAACAGGAGGGTTAGCTGGCGACCGCTTGCGGGCGGGTCGGGCGGACCCCCTGGGCGAGGTCGGGCGGGCGGACCCTAACAGGCGAACCCGGCAGGCGGACCTTGGCTTGACGACCGCGTCGAGAGGGCGGGCCCTAACTGGCGGGCAGGGCATTGAAGCAAACCATGGGATCTGTGAAGAGAGACATTAAACAAAAGCAAGATCCCTCAGTAATTTTTGAAAAGTGTCGTGCGAGACCGCGTGTCCTAGAGACTGACAAAACAGCGAGGGGGTCCCAAGCGCGAGCGAAATTCCTATGCAATGTGCAAGGCAAATCTGGCAAAAGCGCGTTTCCTGATCAACTGCGAGGAAGTATCAGGCGGGAGCCGCTATTATGGGATATTTTCAGGACGGGGTCCCCGGAAGTGTCCCGACACTTTCCCTGGGACCGGTTTCTCATCCTGAGTCGTTTTTTGACGGTCCCGAGGCCTGGCGAGGGTCCCCTGAAGCCGAAAATGGGCGAAAACCTCCCGTCCTGAAATTTTTTACGACGCGATCATGCATGGGTCTAGCCCGCGAGATCACCCCCCACCTGTGCGCGACCGAGATGTGGACCCGGTTGGCATCGCCGAGGAAGGCCTTGCCCGTGCGGATCGGCTCGTGGACGTGGTCCTCCCGCGCTGTGCCCCCCCAAAAATCCTCGTGTGTCTTTTTGTTCCCTGAACGCCGCTCCAGCATGCGTCGACCTCTCGGCCTCGAAGAGAGACAGCCCGTCCTCCTCCTCCTCCTCCTTCCTCCTCCTCCTCCTCCTCCTCCTCCTCCTCTGCCTCCTCCTCCTCCTCCAGCCCGTGATGCAGGCAGCAAGCGGTGTATTATCAGCAAAGCTGGACTCAGGATCAAGGAGACGTAAGACTCGGGTACGGGGGACTCGGGTTGGCGTGATGGGGCCATCCTACAAATGACGAGACCCCATCTAAAATTTTGTTGCGAGCTCCCGCTGCAACACATCCCACGAAAACTGGACCGTCAAAACCCAGGACGCGCTCGTCAAAAAACGTTGGCAAATCCGAGTTCCGGCTCACTCGAGTCTGACGTTTTTCCGACAGGATAGAGGCAATCGGGCCCCAGTGTCCCAACACGCCCCTCTCTGATCGGCGCCCGCTGCGTCCATTGCTTCATCTGCACTCACCTCTCTGTCGGGAAGGCGTGCCATGTTGCTGCCCTCGCCCCGCGGGGATCGAACAGGAGGGACTTTTGTATCCTTTTATCTGAGAGCGTCCTGGACGTGGTTTGGGCACATCAGAATTATGGGATCGAACAGGGGGACTTTTTGTACTCCTTTACTTGAGAGCGTCCTGGACGTGGTTTGGGCACAGTAAGAATATCCTGGAATGTCCCAGGGGCGCCCCCAGAAGCCTCCGAGGCCCTCCAGGGGCCTCCAGGACGTCGGGGGGTCAGAAACCAGGGCGGATCTGAACGTTACCGGTCCTGCGCCGCAGATCCTGTGCCTGGGTTCAGCCTGCGGCTGTCCCAGAGGGTCGTCTCCACCGGACCTGGCGATCTGCCTGGCGGCTGCATCGGCAGCCTCTCTGGGCGACCTCGAATACTCCCTCCGCCCTGGAGGCGGAAAGGGCGGAAAGCCGCCGCCGATCGCAAGCCAGAAGGCTCCAGTCGTGAATCAACTCGGTGCTCATCTCGCGAGCTGGTAAGGCGTCACTCGCTGGAAACCGCGTCGGGCAGAAAAGCAAGTCGTGGAAATGGTGTCTGGATGAAACTAGGTCCTGGACTCTGGGGACCTTCCCAGGGCTTATCTTGGGTCTCGCGTAAACGGTCCAAGGGAGGGTCCCGAAGCAAGAGAGCGGTGCAACGGACCTCCAGGGCCCAGCTCCTCCAGAACCACTTCCCGCCATGCCGAGATCGCGCACAGCATATGCACCACCGCTTGCGTCGCGACACGCCGAGCGAGCGCTACTCCGAGTTTAGATTTAGGTCGGGCATGTCCTCCTACAGGCGGATCTTGGACGAAAAATAAAGAAATGTCAAAACAAACTCCATCATACCCCAAACAAGCAAAAGTCGTCCACTGTTTTCTTGCTGACTATTTTGGAATATTCCGCCTGTAGAGGACATGCCCGACTTAATCTTAGACATGATCCGAAAATTGTCTAGACGCCGTCGGGCACCATCGAGCAAATCATCTTGCAACCTCCCTCGCCTCTTTCCTTCTTGCTCCGCCGCCTGAGGCATGGCCATCGCCCCCCCCCTCCACGTCCTTGCTCCCTCTTCTCCTCTTCCCTGGCCCCTGCAAGCCAAAGCCGACGGAATCTCGCTGCTGGGCGTCCTTCTCGCAGGCACGGCGAGGCAACAACACTCTGTATCTGATATCGGACATATCAAGCAAAATGAGTTGCCAGCTGGCAGGTCACTGGCTTTTCAGATTGTGGCAACGCTTGCTCAGGGAGTTCTGATGCAGGATTTGGACCGGGGAGTGGCCAGCGTCGTTTACCAGGGTGCGGCCCTTACAACAACGAAGGGCATAGCCAGACCTGGTACAGCTCGAAGGCTAAGCGGAGTGCAGACTCGCGCGTGCGTGGATGCTGTGGGGGGGCACCCATTCGAAAGTCCTGATTCGGACGAACAGTTCAGCCTGGCAGACAGCATTCTGAGGGGATCGGAACAATATCTCAAAACTCGCCACCAATTTACTTCACAACCGAAAGCTGCCGGCCTGTCCGAGACGATTCCAATACGCCCCGAGGAAGCCCAAATCATACCCCAAGACCCCCGCAAAGCCTCTCACCACTGCCATGTGGCCCCCTATCCAGGGGGCTTCACAGCTTTCAAATGCCCCTTCACAGCTCCAAGACCAGTCGGAACTGGGTCAAAAGCGCCTCCAAACAACTTCCACACGCCCCCAAATAACATTCCAAAAGCCGCTACGAACGCCGCGAACGCCTCCCCATGGCCCATGGTATCGTCTACAGCTTACAAGGCCTCCCTGCAAACTCTCCGGGGTATCTAGTGGGCAAACATCCTCATGCCGAGCATGTTGCCATACCATGCAAGCTTCTCTCCTGAACAATGTCGCGCTTCGCTGGGAAACGGGCAACACATCCAACGCTTGCCCAAACAAACAAGGACGATTCATGTTGACCCGAACTTCAACAATTCACGAATAATCGCATTTGTTTTAACACGCGTGGGCGGCAGCACAGCCGTGGCAACACCGCCCACCAACAAATTTGCAACCCAACCGTTTTCAAACGTCTTGGACACTACATGTGGTCAACAGCATCCCCCCCTCCGAGTGGAATGCAAGAAACTCAGGCTGATCGGCAACCTTGTCCATCAGCGAAAGAGACGGGTCTTTGCCATAGTCGGCGATGTGGATCCAATCGAGTGCGCAAGCAACTTCGCCGCTGATGTCTATAGGGTCTGAGCTACACAAGCGGAACACGATGATACAGTAGGAGCCTGGAGACAGCTCACCAGTGCTCGGCTCAATCTCCATGTCCGTAGGCTTAAGGAAGAGCCCGTTCTGCTCCCACCTGACGCGCGCTGGCATGCCTCCTCTGACTCTGACACGCTCCTGCAATGCAGGAAATTCAACCGGAGAGGGAAGAACACGAGCTTGCACATTCATGGGATTGAACTGTCCCCCCGTTAAGAGGAGGGATCGTTGATCGTTACAACCTGGCCATCGCGAATGGCCCTGACGTTCCGTGCGCCGCGAATACTGACTGTTGTCTTTGAGAGGCCCCCCCCCAAAGAAACAGCGTCGGAATGTTCGTGGAAGCGATTGCGATCGTGTTGGCTGTCGGGCTATGGGTCTATGCCCGCATCCGTCGTGGTCTGTCGAGCTGAATGGATGTATGTCTGCCAACGTCTCCCCAGACATGTCTACTACGTCGGTGTCTCACCGACTACTTCGTGGCGCACGTCTGGCCGGCAACACGCCTGCCTGCCAATGTATGTCTGTCCGCCTGCGTCTCCCTGCCAAGACCTTTTCTGCGTCTTCCTTTTCCCCCGGTTCGCCCTCCCACACGCCTCCCTGTCTGCCCGTGTCTGTCTGCCTGTCTGCCTGCACGCATCCATGCCTCAATGATGTGCCTCTGCGCCTGTGTGTCGTCGGACGTGGAGCAGCTCTGCGTCCTACGTGTTGATTCGTAGCTCGTCGCCTCCTGCAAGCACGGTTGGCTCTCTGCACTAATCGTGCTCGTAGTTCTGTCACGCTTCACCCGTCTCTCGTCCCACACGAGTGTCTTGCCACTTCTACTCCCACCACCGCTCCCTGCCACGGTGTTCAGAGACAGTTACTGCAAGAGCAAGCAGGACGACGAAGATCCAGAATGCAAATCACTCAGGCACGTCGGATTGAGAACTGTCTTGCAGCTCGGCGCGCAGCAACGAAGAGAATAACGCGCCCTCAAAAGATCCCGGAAACTGCACGGCAACTGTTGGCCATTATCAATCAACTGTCTCTTGACTATGAAAACGGTATTTCGGAAACGGCAACCGGGAACAATGCAAAAACTGCTCCTGGATTGGAACAGAAAATGAAACAAGAACAGCAATGGCAACGGACCAGTAAACACAAATTGTGGCAGAACTGGCAACCAAACTGCAAAACGGGCACGAGAAAGAAAACCGGCCCTGTCGATTCCAGGGCCCACTGAGCCCGCTGTCTCCACCTCCTCCTCCTCCTCCTCCTCCTCCCTTCTCCCTGCTCCCTCCTGCTCTTCCTCGTCCTCCTCCGCCTCTCCTCCTCCTTCAGGAAACAGCCGCCCACCTGAAGCTCAGGACGTGCTCAGAGGAGTAGTTCACCAGCACCAGCATGCGCGACGCCCGGGACGCCAGGGGGCACTGTCCGAAGTCGAGCATCTCGATGGACAGCGCGGCCCCGTTGCCCGGCACTGGGGGGCCGCATGGCTCAGCTTCTATGTCCGATGTGCTTACGGTGGAGGCCGGTCCACAAAACACCCTCCACAGGAAACCCAACCCTGAGACCCCAGGCAGCTTCACGCTTCCCATAGAACGATGTCGAAACCCAAGAAACCCAGGGCACCCCGGAGGCAATCGGGGTGTTTCTTGGCATGGGCCTCCACTGTATTACAGACGTGTCCATCTTCATTTGAACGTGCATGCACCAATCGTTCCTGACAGCAGAATGCGACTTGAGAGCCAACCGGGACCCAAAACGGTCAGAGAGTGCACCGTGGAGGAGAGAAAGGTATGTTGTGCGAGATGTGGAGTGTAGTCTATGTTGTGCACGATTATCGGTATGAGCAATGATGTTCAAGCTATGTTGTGCAAGCTATGCTGTGTAAGTCATGCTGCGCAAGCTATGTGATGTGACTTATGCGGCGTGAGCTAGGCGTCGTGAGCTCTCTAGTGTAAGCTATGAAGCGTAGGCTGTGCAGTGCGCGACAAATCGTGAGCCAAGTGATGTGTAAGACACGTGGTGCGAGTTATGTGTGCAAAACGGGCCAGACACATCAACGTGGTGCCAGCCATGTCCTGCAGCACGTCATGTGTGTGTGCGCTATATGTTGTGAGCTCTGCACTGCAAGCTCTGTGGTGCAAGCTGTGCGGTGCAAGCTACGTCGCACAAGCTACGCGGTGCAAGCGCACAGGGGCGCCCACGGCGGCGCCCACGAGCGGGCACGCGGGCGCCGACAAGGCGACGCCTCAGGGAGTTCACATCGCGCACGGCGGCGCCCAAGAGCGGGCACCAGCGCCGACGAGGCGAGGCCTACGGGCACCAACCCAACGAACGGAGCGCCCACGAGGCGAACAACGAGCAAGCACGGCACCAGGGAGGCAAACCCTCGGACAACCCACCAAGCGCCCAACGGCACGGGGCGCCCGCAAGGCGCCCACGAACAAACCCTGGCGCCACGGTGGCGAACATCCGGGGAACCCATCCAACCACCGTAAGACAGTCAAATAGAACAACCCTTAGTGCAGACACTGTTGGGTGGAAATGAGGCCCTGAGCAAGGAGAGTGGAGGCTAAAGGCATTTCAAGTCATCCAGGTTAAGCTACTGTCGCCAAGTGTCGGCGCATGCAGAGCGGCACAACGGAACGCGCCTGGGGCATACGTCTGGATCGGCAAGTTCACAGGGAACGTGGGCTCGACCTGTCGGTTACCCAGCAGGGCCAGACTCCCTCACGCTCGACATGCTACAACCTTTCCTCTGCGGGTACATGCCCGACATGTCCGTTCCATGCCTGGGCGGAGCATCGCTTTGAAAACTGGGGATGAGGCCCGCCCCAAAAAGCCATGATAACACTGACAACTCATGTCACAACAAATTGGCTCATTTCCCCCGCACCCCCTCATACGGTACACGGTAGACAGCGCTCCGTCCCTGGCTCTCTCTCTCTCTCTCTCGCTCTCTCTCTCTTCCTCCCTCCCCGCGCCTACGAAAGCCGCGGATCGCAATCGAAGTCTCGTTCGCGAGGAACCTCACATGTGAAACGTCCGTCGCTGATGGATGTTCCACCATGCCACCGCTGAGTGTCGACAACCGTGCTCCAGTGGCACTCTCGAGGGGTTCTTCACACGATTCGGAACAGTTCCTCTCGCGCTGATGCCCAACAAAGCAAAGCTCATAACGAACTCACCGATGCTCGTCGAATGCTCCCCTTGAGTCGGCCCGCACCCATGCCTCATTGACCTTGGACATCAATGGCCAAAGAAAACGAGGTGCATGAGCCAACGCCGATTACTCCACATATTGCGAACAAGCCGCTCAGAGACTCTGGCACTCTGCCAATCAATGCAGATGAATGTCGGTGTCAAGCGACTATTTCGCACAGCAGTCGCAAACGACGCCAAAGATAAATCAGGGCTCGAGCTGAACATTGTCTTAGGTTTTCGTTTTGTTTTCGATTTTCTCCGTTCTGTATTCGTTCTGCTGCGAAACGAAATCAAAACGAAACCGGTCCACGAAATCGCCAAAACACAATTTGGCCCGAACCCTGGTATGAATCCAATACAAAGGTTTTGCGATGCTTGTCAACGGGATGACCGCGAACCCTCCCTCTGTCTCTCTCTCTCTCTCGGTCGCAACTCTACTCACGTCAGATGCCTTTCCAACTCGTTCTGATCCAGATCGCCTAATATCAACTACCTTCTCTGTCTCTCTCTCGCGCCATCTCTCTCTCTCTCTCTTCCTGTCTGTGTCTGTCGGCTTGCTCCACTTGGCCGATCTATAGAATATGGCATGTCCGATTTACTTTATCCTTCTGACCGTGGAAGAGAGGATGTTATGCTGTTGTTGCGTCTATCTGTCGATATATATATATACATCTATATATATGTGAATATATATATATATATGTATGTTTATATATATATATATATGTATCTCGATACGTGTACACATGACATATACTTGTATAAACATAACACATCTCTCTCTGTCTTGCCTCATGAAACTCGTCTGTTTGCCTCAACTCGCCTCCCAACTCGCTCGGCTTTCTAGACTCTGATATTTGCACTCTCTTCTTTCTGCTCACCCATTTGGTATGTGTTCTCTCTCCTCTCGACGGTCTGCCCTACCCTCTCAGTCTGACGGTGCACGCAAGGACCCCCGCACTTGGCTGCAACCAACAAGCAAGACCCCGGGAAACTTAAAACGCGGGCAGCCCTGAACCTAGAGCCGGCAAAATGGAACCTGACCGCCCACCAAAATTGCTATGGAATTTGGAAACCAAAGAACCCAACTGTCACCGAAATTGACCCGGCACTTTCGCTGAGACCTGGAACCGGGAACCCAGCGGCCCACCGAGATCGGCATAGCACATTCGCTCCTCAAAGACCCCATTCAGTGCAAGCACAACTTTGAAGAAAAACTGCTCCCGCGTATCGCCACCGAGGCGATCCGACCAGCCTCCTCTTGAACAAGGTTTCCTGGTCCGAACTGATGCCGTTCTTGACCACACATCGTGTGCCAACGCCGTGACGTGCGCAAGAGATTTGCGCAGCAGCCAGTGGCCCCCAAGCTGCGCCTCGGCAGCGGGTGCGCGGCCTAACCGAAGAGGACGAAGGGCTGCGAGGGAAATTGTACAAATAATAATTTTCGCGCATTAGAAACTTCCCGGGGTCCTCGCGGCCTTCTCGAATCGGCACTGGATCCCCCTCCCGGGCGCGCGGAGCGCGCCAGGTGCGATTCTAGAGGCGCCGCCAGGAAAGTCCAACGCAGAAAAAAAAACGAGCGGACATCCGAGAAACTATGTTTTTTCCCAACCATCCTGTGGTGTTGGGTCCTCGTTTTGAAGAGACGGTGACCCGCGTCCCCTTCTTTCCTCCTCCCCCTCCTCCCTCCTCCCCCATCCTGGCTTTTGCTCTCCGCATGTCTCTGTTTCGGCACACCCCTCACACGTTTCGTGGCCCCGTAGGGAGCTCCACCTAAGGTCCCAGTGGCGGAACTCGCATGGCGCCGCCGCCCCATTTGGCACACGCCTCACACGTTTCGTGGCCCCATGGGGAGCTCCACCTAAGGTCCCAGTTGCGAAACTCTCATGGCGCCGCCGCCCCATTTTGGCACACCCCTCACACGTTTCGTGGCCCCAGAGGGAGCTCCACTTAAGGTCCCAGTTGCGAAACTCGCATGGCGCCGCCGCCCCATGTTGGCACACCCCTCACACGTTTCGTGGCCCCATAGGGAGCTCCGACCCAGGTCCCGGCGGCGGAACTCGCATGGCGCCGCCGCCCCATTTTGGCACACGCCTCACACGTTTCGTGGCCCCATAGGGAGCTCCACCTATGGTCCCAGTGGCGGAACTCGCATGGCGCCGCCGCCCCATTTTGGCACACCCCTCAAACGCTTTGTGGCCCCATAGGGAGCTCCGCCCAAGGTCCCAATGGCGGAACTCGCATGGCGCCGCCGCCCCATTTTGGCACACCCCTCACACGTTTTGTGGCCCACAGGGAGCTCCACCTAAGGTCCCAGTGGCGGCACTCGCATGGCGCCGCCGCCCCATGTTGGCACACCCCTCACACATTTTGGCACACCCCTCACACGCTTCGTGGCCCCATAGGGAGCTCCACCTAAGGTCCCAGTGGCGGAACTCGCATGGCGCCGCCGCCCCACTTTGGCACACCCCTCACACGCGTCGTGGCCCCATAGGGAGCTCCACCTAAGGTCGGTCCCCGTGGCGGAACTCGCATGGCGCCGCCGCCCCATTTTGGCACACCCCTCACACGTTTCGTGGCCCCAGAGGGAGCTCCACCTAAGGTCCCAGTTGCGAAACTCGCATGGCGCCGCCGCCCCATTTTGGCACACCCCTCACACGCATCGTGGCCCCATAGGGAGCTCCACCCCAGGTCCCGGTGGCGGAACTCGCATAAACCCGAAGTCCCGGAGGCGACGGCCCTCGCCAGGGAGATGGGCTTCACCGAGTTTATCCGCGAGGCTTGACCTGAGGAGCGGCCCGCCCGAGACTCGCCCGCCGTCTCTCGACGGTCTGACTGTTTGGCCTCGCGCCGCGGGCGATCCGCGCGCGTCGCTGGGACCCTCTCGGGGCGACCAGCGCGCGTCGCGGGAATTCCGCGCTGCGCTCTGCCCAGAGCCTCGCTCGCCCCCGTCGTCGCTCTGCCCAGCGGCCACAGTCTTGCCCGCTATCACCCAGCCAGCTAGCACTCTCTCTGCTCCGCGCAGCGGACGACCCGCGCGCGTCGCCGGGACCCCTTCGGGGCGACCAGCGTGCGTCGCGGGGACTCAGTGCGGCGCCGCGCCCGCAGCCATGGACATCGGCGTGCATGGGCAAAGAGGCAGAAAAAGAAGGGGAAGGAAGCGGGCGCGATCCTCGTGAGGGGCGTGCCGACATGGGCGTCGACATTGATGCAGTAGACTGATTCGCACGCAGACACATTCACAATCAGACTTACTCGCGCTCAGGCTCACCCTGTCTCAGTCTCGCGCACTCAGAGCGATCGTCTTTGTTCGTATTGGGGACCCCGCCACGCATTTCGGCACGCCCCCTCACACGGTTCGTGGCCCCATAGGGAGCGCGAGCGAAGATGAGATCCACAATCGCGGTATCCACAACTGCATATGGTTGGGTCCTTCGCCAGGCTAATTGTTCCATTCTTCGTCGATCTGAAGGCAACGGGGGGGGAGACCTGGGGCGAGATGCCGTACCGGGTCCCCGTAGGAGGCGAACTAGCGTGAACAGTGACAATTTGTCAATAACAGACACAAGTTTGAAGCGGGAATTAATTAACACATGGGGCGAATGGGGCGGGCGACCTCCAGCAGCAAGAGAGTCTCAAAGAACTTACGGCCGCATGTGACGATTTGGTAAGCAGAGCTCCGCCGGGAATGAAAGAGATCCCTTAAACATCAACAAAAAGTTTGGGCTTCTGAGAAATATGGTAGAAGGTGGTGTCGGCACCAACACCGACACACCTACAGCACCAGCGACGACGATGGCAATAATGGCAAAAATACCAACTTGCCACCAACTACCTGAAGAAGTTCACCGGCCCCTCCATGGACGACCCCCCGGGGGGGAAGTATACCACTTGCAGCAGGCATGGGCAAAAATACGAGGCCCAGCATCCATGTTGTACCTCATCTTCTTCAATGTCTGAACCCTGCCAAATTTCTGTTTCGACTCCTCCTCTGCCAACTTCCCCGTCGACTCCAACTTGGACAGCGTCAGGCACATTAGCCAGATCTTCTACTGTAAGCCGCACGTGTGCCAGATCTCGACGACGATGCACTCTGATCTGTATTCAACGCCTTGGAACTTGGATTGTGGAAGGGCCCTGGGGAGGCTAGCGCATCAAGCTAACATCAGTGGTCCGACATTCTATGGATATCTTCTAAATCCAGGAAGCACACCTCCATGAAACAAAACACTTCTAAGATAATGGCTTCTTCTTGTTCTTGTCTAGGAAGATATTTCAGAACGACGTTGTCGCAAGAATTGGATTCACTGTTGCCCCGTGGTCACGTGGCGCCATCGTTGCTTTCCGGGCGCTCCCTTCAAGAATCGCTACGCTCAAGGTCCGAATGCAACATGGGGAAGTGTTGCTAATATCCGCCTGCATACCGCATAGTGACCATGATTGCGGGGATCGCAATCTTGCTTCACAGGGCTGCTGGAAACTGCAAGGCCCATGACACTATACAGCACAACGGTGAGATTGGGAGACTTCAGCGCGAACTTATTGCGGCAACAACCTGGCGAGGCAGGCACATCGGTCAACATGTATATATTTCAGATGAGTGCGGCAGCTGCGCAATGCTCGAATTATGTACCGCCGCAGACATGTCCATTGCAAACGCTGTCTTCGATACACTCACCGATCATCGCATCACATACTGGAACCTTGGTGTGAAACCCATGGGCACGAGCATCACGCCGGGAAAAAATCCCAGATCGACTTTGCATTATGTCATAACTTGTCAGCTCTCGCTTGGGTCACACATTGAAGGGCGCTTCAGGCAGAAGCCTTACGCAACCAACATTATTCGACAACCACGGGAATAGCGTGGCAATTACACGCGAAATCTCAATGCCGCAAGCGTCGGTCAGATATTTCGCCTGTGTGGGAGCCGGAGATTAAGGCGAACTTTGCATCCAGCTTTTACGATGCATTGAAAGCAACACCAGTATTGCATGGTACTTTGAACGAGTTGGCAAATCGTGTTGAACATGCTCTTGCCATAACGTCCTCCCCTTTGCGGATCAGACAACAGCCGTCCAACAAACCATGGATATCTTAACTACTCTGGATCTCACCGAACAGCGGAGCTCCGCAAGACAGTCCGGCGATGCCGACCGCGAACAAACCTTGAACAAATTGATTCGGAAGAGCGCCCAGGTCGATCGAATGAGTTGGATACGTACTACTCTTCTTGGCGGCAGCTGGGACGTCGACAAAAAACTGAGGAAGAAGCCTCAAGCGAAGCATGCTGGAGTTCAGGACCTTAACAACCAACTCATTGACTCTGCAGGCCGCCCAGACGCTTTGGCAGACTACTTCGAAAATATTGCCCACTGCCACTGCTGCGCTTGGTGCAGGTCGCCATGTTGAAGAAGGGAATTTCACGATGACAGAATTGCAGTTCGTTTCAAATCGAATGAACAAAGGTGACGCGGCTGGGCTGGACGACCTGCCACCTGATGTTTGCAAAGTTGCAGCCAGATGTACACATGCATACCAAGAGTTATGTCAGAAGTGTTGGGGCGACAAATACGTACCGAACGCATGGCGGTAGACCAACGTTGTATTTCCCTCAAAAAAGGCAGCGCGAAATTACCCAGCAACTGCCAAACAATATCGTTACTGTCTGTTGGATGCAAAGCCTTGGCGGCCATGCTGGATCAATGACTTCTTCGAGGATAGGCTGAAGAACGGCTACGCAACTCACAGTTTGGATTCCGGTCTCGACGCGGGACCGCCGACGCAGATATGTTGAACAACAGCGGTGGCCTTGTCTTACTTCTACTTGACTGGGCGAAGGATGTCGATCGATTGAAGCCAGAATGTCCATGAGCGGCGATGGTATCTTTCGGACTACAACCATCTATCGTAGATATGGTCATAGGCATTGGTTCACATCGTCATTCTACTATTGTCGACCATTTTGAAAATCCATCTGAACGTCTGCAGGCTGCTGGTATCGCACATGTTTCTCCTCTGTCACCATCCTTGTTTATTATTGTGCAAACGGTTATGTTTGCGGACGTTTTCTCGGGTCTACAACATCACGGATAACCTGAGTAATAGGTAACCCAGGATATCTTATATTCAGACGAGACAGTGTAGGCATTGCAACACGTGAACAAGTACAACACAGCTTGGGTGCTACCATATCGGAAGGACAGCAACACTGTTTGGAGTTGAACTGGGGCAAGACGGTGCAGCTCCAAGTCTCCACTAATGACCAAGTCACGAGGCTAGGCGGGAACCGATCAAGTTGTTTCAATCAGCGGCGTACTCGGGAGGACTGATTACACAAGACGGGCGAGTGGGTACTGAATTGGCCAGGCGCGTGAAGGAGAGCAGATCTATGTTTCAGCAGCTGTGCAAGGTCTGGTCACAAGTGGTAAGCAAAGGAAGCTGTTGATCTACACGTCTCGCGTCCTGAACAAACTCATGTTTCCATTGGATTCCAAACAAATGCAGCCTTGATGCCTGCAGAAACTGCCAGCGGAAAACTACTGGAATCGCTCCGTCTTACTTTTCGAAAATGTCAAACGCATTTGTATTGGAGATGGCGGGATGCATGCCTCTGTCCGCAATTCTGAGTGACCGCCAAGTGCAACTTTTTAGAGCTATTGCTTCGCAGAGCGACGCTTCGCTGGTTCAACAACTAGTGTGCGATGCGAATGGCGGCTCTAGAGATCAAGTCTCTGATCATAGAGGCCGGGCTTGTCCGAGACAGCAGTGTGCACAGAGTATGTACACTCTGGTGCGCCAACATATTTAGCTCACCCCCTCCTTCTGCCCCGTTGTTCCGTTCCCTCCCCTCCCTTCGCCCTCTGTTTCCCTCCTGTGACCTGCCCGGGTCTGTAGTCTCATTGCATTGATTGGCTGACTTTTCGCGTCTGATTGCCAACGTGCAATCTCGCCCTCGTGTCTGCTTGACGCAAGGCAGCCAGGCCAGCCAGTCAGGGACCGTGGTGAGGGCCCCCTGGAGGCCGCAAGTAGCGACAAACAACCCCCCCTGTCGTGATGTTTTGTTCCACGACGCGCGGGGGTCTGAGGAGGCCACCCTGCCCGAGAACACCCTCGGAGCTGCCTGCGGCACCGGCTGCTCCGGCTCGTAGCCCTCGGCCTGGAGCTCGAAGCACAGCTCCTCCATCGGGCGGCCGTCCTGCGCCGGGAGCCGCGGCTCTGCCGCAGGGAGGCACACCGCCTCTGTGGATGCCTGGCCCCTCCCCGCGCCTCCGTTGTCCCCCCCCCCTCCCCGCGCCTCCCCTCCCCTCCCCATCCCCGCGCCTCTCCTCGCCCCCCTCCCTGCGCCTTCCATGCCCCGCCCCCCCCCCTCTCCGCGCCTCCGTGGTCCCCGTGATCATGTCGTCCGTCGGTCGTCTGCCGGTCGTGTCGTTTTCGCACTCTGCCGATGGGCTCCTCCAACGTTGGGAGGAAAGAGTTGGATGTGTGGCGCCCGTGCCGTACGCCAGGGAACCCCTCCGAGCCCAATGCCAAGACGAAGCCAGGACGAGGCTAACATCGGGCGAGGATGACTCGGGAAGCTCAGGGATCCTTACAGCGCTCTGCAACGCGCTGGTCCAGATTCTTCCTCGTCCGCACCTCGTCCGACATGCGGTGTCCGTGCGCACGCGGCCGCCGGGATTGGGCAGCTGACGGGGCCCCCGTCCAAGAGGCCGGCGGGCAAATCTCGCCCGTTCGGCGGCCGAACGGGCCCGCTCATGGACCCGCTCGGCGGCCGCACGGGCGCAGGCGCCGAAGGGGCTCAGCAGCGACCCAACGGCGAGGCGCTGAGCGGGGTGCTTTCAGATAGCCCCTCGTGGTCCCCAGCCGAAGCATCGGGAATGCTCTTCAGGCTCCACGCTGAGGTCGGGCGTGTCCCCCTACAGGCGGATTTAGGCGGGAAAACAACACAGATCCAACACATGTTCAAACATAACCAAAATTAGTCAAAACCAAAAAACGTCTCCAGGCTATGTTTTGACTATTCTTGAATATTCCTCCTGTTGGGGGGCACGCCCGACTTAACCGCAGTCAAGGGTCTTCTTTGGCGCTGCTGGGGTCCGACGCCCGACTCGTCCAGACAGGCCCAGCGGGAGCGCGGCCTGGAGTCCCAGAGTGCCAGGGTCGCTGAAGAGGGCACCAGGGGCCCGTCTTGGAGCCCGCTTGGCCCCCAGGGCTGGTCCAGGATGCCCAGAGTACTAAGACGCTGCATGAGGTTCGCGTTCTCGCACTTTCGGCCCCGAGGGCGCGCGAGACGGCCCGTGCCCCCCCGACAGATTCGCGACGAAACGGCCCAAAAGGACCCCGCGAGGGACCCCGAAAGGGACTCTTAGACTGCCCCAGAAGCGGGGCCCAGACACGTGAGCTCTAAGGCCCCCGCCCCCCCCCCCTCCCCCCCCAAAAAAA